ACAATGCTCTTCCCTCCTCACCTCCTCCTGTATCTATGGAGCTGTGGAGCTGAGCGCTCCCAAGGACATCATGCCTTGATTACAACACCTTTTTGGTGTTCTGCCAGGAGGCTGAGCAACGTGGTTTCATGGCCCTGTCGATGTCACCGCCTTCACTCATGTCTTTGCTTTGGCCTTTGTTTTGTCTGAATTGTTGTCATCTGCCCTAATGTGTCCTTTCTTCTTTTGTAAATTAAATTTGTTTTAATCTGTTAGAAACGATGGAGTACTCCCTATTTAACCCATTATTTTAGTTTATTAGTAATATCAGAAATTGTGGAGTACGAACCATTTAGATCAACATTATACAGCCCAGAAATGGACTTAGAATTACTATGAACTTAGAATCTAGAAATAACAGGAACAGTCACCACCTAGTTACTTTTATATTACTACTTGTTAGATACTGTGACTACTTACTTTTAACCCAGAAAAGGATTTAGAACAAACTCAGAAATTAGTTCTTTTTTTTTTTTCTTTTTAGAAACTGTGGACTATTCACTACCTAAATCAGTGTTTCTCAAACCTGGTCCTCACCGCCCCCCCTGTCCTGCATGTTTTAGGTGTTTCCCTTCTGCCACACACCTGAATTGTATCTCTGGGTGATTAACAGGCTTCTGCAGCACTTGATGGTCATGCAATAATTTGAATCAGCTGTTCTGGAATAGAGGCACATCTAAAACATGCAGAGTAGGGGGGGCGGTGAGGACCAGGGTTGAGAAACACTGACCTAGACCAATACAACATTAACATCAATATTAGATTCTTTTTCTTCTTTTTTCTTTCCTTTGGTTTGTTATTTTGTTTGCATTTCCTTTTAATTCCAGTAAAGCACTTTGTATTGCCTTGTTGCTGAAAATGTGGTATATAAATAAAATTACCTTACCTTACCATAGAAGTTGAATGCTGCTTCTCCTCGTTTGGTTCTGGTTCTGGGGATGCAGAGCAGAACCAGAACCTGAGGGGTCTGGAAGGTTGATACAACAGCAGCAGATCTTTAATGTATTGTGGTGCTAAACCGTTCAGTGATTTACAAACTCACAGTCTGAGCTACAGGGTGTCAGTGTAGGGACTTTAAATCTGGGGTGATGTTTTCTATCTTCCTGGTTTTAGTCAGAACAGCAGCAGCGTTCTGGATCAGCTGCAGCTGGATAATTGATTTTTTTAGGCAGACCCGTTGCAGTAATCAATGCTAATGTCTCATGATCTTGCTGAGACACTAGTTCTCTAATCCTGGAGATGTTCTTCAGGTGATAGAAGGCTGACTAATTATGGTAGCTAATCTTATTTCCTGTTATAATTTGAGCTAATGAGATCATATAAATATTGAAAAAGAGGGGTCCTAGAATTGAACCTTGGGGTGCACCACATGTGACTTCTGTCCACTTCGATGAGAAGTTGTTTCCTATTTAAACAAAGAAATCCCTATTGTTTAATTGCTTCTAGTGGAGAAGAGCTAGAACACTGCAACTGGACACTGATCAGATGCAATATACAGAGACTTTTGGCAGGTCATGAGAAGTTGCACATGTGTATTAGATTTCATGATTCTCTTTCAAAGGATGGCTTGGGCTGATTTCTTTAACCCTTGTGTTTAGAAATGGGGTCCAACTGACCCCACACATGTAAAACTTGTATCATTTGCCATAGTCCTCTACATATGCCTCAGTCCTCCCATGCACAAGGGTTAAATCATTCTAGAGAGGGTTGTTGAGAATGTAGGCCACGCCCACCAGATATTGGAAAGCAGTCCTGTAGGGCAGTGTGTCTTGAGGACCAGGGTTGGGAAACACTGCTGTAGGGATCGATTATATCATTTGACTGGTTTCACTTATCAGGAGGTTGGCCTGCTACTGTTTCAGTGTAGCTTAGTTTCAGTTTAGTTTAGTTTAGTTTTATTTAGGATTATTTATTCTGGGTAGTTATTGACTAAAATTATTTTTTTGGATTTTGTTTGGGTTTAAGGAAGGGGGACTCTATTGTTCAGCCCTCTGACTCATTTTAAAGGGACTGTTTCATTTAGACTGAAGAAACTAGTGGAAGAGGAGCTTTATTTCTTTGTGGTATTCTCCAGTGATTTTGTGTGAGTGTGTTTTTGTTGGGGAGCACCTGAGTGTTATTTCTTTTCCTTATTCATTATTTTTCCCCAAAGCAGCAAACTAAATATTCCCAGGGGAAGCATTGACCTTTGTTTAAGATTTTGTTATTTTGTATAATAAAATAAACTCTCTGTGATTATTCATGCCCTTAAATCAGGGCATCTGTGAATTCATGAACCAAATAAAATCAAATTTGGAAGCAGTGCCTTTGCTAATTCTTACAAACATATTTGTGTAAAGGTTTGGTAAAAGGAGGATTTAAGGTTCTTCTAACACTCTCTACTATTAGCAATGATTGTACTCAAAGTCACAATAGGAAATAAACATTTATTACTCCAGTTTTCCTCACGTTTGGTACACAAATATACATTTACTTGGTACATTTTTGTTTTCAGAAAATGTCAGTCAAAGCAGTTTAGCGAAATGCAACCAAATTGTTTTTATCTGTATTTTTGTGATTGTACTTGAATTATATAATATGTTTTACGATTACAATGAAATGTAAAAAGAAGAATAAAATATAAAAACACCCTACCGGAAAGAAAAAAAACAAAACAAAAAAAACACCCTACCGGAAGTATTTTCTTTTAGCACATGCGCAAATGAGCTAAGGTATAACGGAAATACTGACCCGGAAAAACAAAATGGCAAAAAATGGGGGATCACAGGTAGGCGAAAACAAAAAGGCATTGTAATCTTGGTTATTTTGACTTTTCATGACGCTATGAAGGTAGAAAAGCTGTAAATATATAACACCGTGAACTGAAAAAGTTGGAGGACACTTATACGCATAGAGTTTCAATGTACTACAGATCTTAAAACACTTCTAAGAATAGCCTTATGCTAACAGTTTTACTTTTCACAAAGCAGCTCCTTTGTGTTTTATATTTTGAAAATGTACTGCTTACTAAAAGTATTTTTTTTTTTTACATTTCTAAATGACGATATCGACGGGTATGATTGCATTAAATGATAATTAAAAATAGTTTCTAACACCTTACAGGGACTACTATTACCATTGTCCTTTGTACGAGCTCGGTTTTGTGGAGTGATTGAATATTTATTGGAGTAGACAAAGGAAATGTTGATCATAGATGTTTGTGTTGCATTTTTATATGGGTCTAAAGCAGTCGTTAGCAGGCTACAATTATGAATTAGCCCAGAAACGACAAGCTTTGCATTAAAGCTTGTCGTTTCTGGGCTAAGGATGGCTACAACGTTGCTGAAGAACGAAATGACCAATAACCATTTACTCCTCTTTGCAAACTCAGTACAAACCTCTGGGAGGGATATCGACCATTTTATCGTTTGATTTAACCGTTTAACCGCCCTGTTAAACGGTTAGGGTTAGGTTTATAATGGGTCAAGTTGACCCATTATAAAGTTTAAAAATCTAAAAAAGAAATTGTTCAAAGTATTTTTTCTGGTTGAAACTTCTTCTGCTTGGCTTAATAACCACGATGAGTATATAAGATGAAAATGGGTTATTTTACATAGGCGAAACCTACTTACCCCCTCGGCATACGAGGGGTTAACATATAAATATTATCTGCAAGGAAATCCTAAAACTTTACATGTGATATAGTCGTTTTCAGATTTTAAGTAGATGACCAGCAGAAATAAAATGGAGGTGCCCGAACGTATCTTTGATCACGACAGGGAAATACAGAAGGAAGCTGAAGATGGTATTGAGGTCAATTCTAATTCTGATTATAAAACAAATGATGAAAATATCAGTCATATCCAAACATGATATTCATGTAAAAACATTGTGAACTCCAGTGGTTTTCATCTCCAAATAAACACCAAGACAACTGCGTGCAGAGAATGTAATAAAGGTAGTGGCTTTAATATAATGGCAGCAGCTTGTGTCAAAGACATCAAGTCAGTTTTTGAGCTACTGCTGCCCAGCTTAATAAAGAAAATCATTCTTGAAATGTCTGATCTACAAGGAACGAGTGTTTTGATGAAAGGCATTTTCATTCTTATTTCGGGAGTTCTCATTCTAGCAATATATGCCTTCCAAATAGCTAAATATGGCATAAAAAAATCTGAGCAGCAGCGTAAACCATAGAAGGTTTATGCTGGAAAGCCAGCTTTACGAGGTCCAGAGAAGAATCACTGTACAAGGGTTGTACTTGATATCGAAAATGGTCTCAGAGGCACAACGTAACCTTTGATAATCTCTTCACATTATTGTCCTCATCAGCACTTTGCTAAAATCAACACTGGAAAGGACTACGCTACCAAAGGGGGAGTAGATAACTTGGAGAAGTTACTGGGTAACACAGTACCAGGTGAAAGACTGCACACTGGCAGCAAAAATAATATTTACATGTATATACTGATTTTTCTGTGTAGGTTTTCCTATTGGACATTAAAAATTTAAATAGTTTTATTTTTGTGAAAACAAGTGAATTATCCTCATTCATCACTTATCTCTAAGAGGTAAAGAACGCCATTGCACTGAATATTGATTGAAATTGTTAGTAATAGCGTTAATGAACAGATTCAAAAATGTTTTGGGGAAACGTTTTGGATTCTGACCCTACTGCATATAAAAAAATCCCTGGGTCTAATTGAGCTGGCAACGTTGTTGGAGCACCTCAGAAATGAACATCAGAGGAGGGTTAAAAGGCTCTTTCATCTGCATACTTAAACACAGCAGCTAAGCAGAGCCGTGTGCTTTAACTTTTGGTGATGCATTGAACTGAACACATTTCTCTCAACTGTTATATGCAGTGTAAACTGTCTAAGGACACCATTTGATGCAGAGGTTACATGCACTCTGTATTTTTTTCATCATCAAATTGAATTGGTATTGATTGGTAGACATTGGTGTGTGTCCTGTGCTGTTTTATGTTGGGATTTTTACAAGGGTACCCAAATCTTTAAAAAGACTGACCTCTTGATTTTGACTTTGGCTAATATCCATTTTTTGTCTGAAAAATCACTAAATATATCAGATAAGTTGACAGTTAACAGTGAGATGACTAATGTTAACTGTGCAGATGTGACCTGAGGGGAGATCAGTCAGTCCTCTCTCACAGCAGAGCAAATGGAAGACAGATCTTTGCGGAGGTAGATATGATTAGGAACAGTTTCTCACATAGTTGTTGGTTGATTGCAGATTTAACAAAATTAAGTAAATCTAGGCTGATTTGCCCTTGTTCCCCTGCGGTAAACAATGAATTGTGTAAATGTCATAGTACTGACTCGGCTTTTATGACTACAAGGCAGGAAAGGCTGCATTATGAAGGAATTGAAAGAAAAAGTAGTTTGCCATTGCCATGCTTTCCATTGTAGCAAAAAATACCCATAATTAATCATGACCGGATTTATGGTTTATGTCATATATATCGATCTATTAATCTATCTGTCTGTCTATGGCACAATCTTAATACAATACAAAGGAAATGATCTATTTGCCTAATGGATCAACAAGCACATCTTCTAATCAAGTCTTGATTACCACATAAAACTTCACCAGCTAAAGCAAATACCCTGTTAGACCTATAAACTAAGTTCTTCAAAGGAAATATGAGCAGTTATTGGTAATCTCTCAGTTATTATTTCAACATTTGCTGTAGTTCACAGACTTGGTAAAGAGCTTGTTTTTTCCCCCCATATAGTTCTTGCAATATTTTGGCTAGGTTGTTTCTTGACTGGACTATAGCCTCAAGCTTGGCAGATGATATCAAACTTAAAAAAGCCCACTTGACTTGCTAATGACGGACTGACAACATGTTTAACTGATTATACATTTTAAAGATGAGTTCTGTCAGTCGCTTTCATATCTCATGAAACTTTTTAAAGTCATTAGTTGCTGATCTGCAGTTGGTGCTTCAATACTCTTGGTACTCTGTTGTTTAATACAACAGGGCATATTGTTTGGGTAGATTTATGATATACTAACTTCCCATGGCATGCTTTCCACAGAATAAAAATATTATGTGTTATATAATTATCCATGCATTGGTTAACCATTAGCATCTATGTTCAAACTACCACTTTATAAAAGCCTACAGCTGCTCTTTTTTTAGTTAATTCAGTACAATCGGCTAACAATTTGGTCAAACAGTGCTCCTTAAGGTAGAAACTTATTAAAAATATGAATAAAAATATGGACTTTTGCTTATTCAACCAGAATCATTGTGCTTCAAATTGTGTGCTTTTTTGAATATTCAGAATGAATGTCTGCTTCAGATTTAACACATCTCTAAGAAGTATTTACAACTTTTGCAAGAATATTACAATTTGACTAAAATTAGGGGCTGAAGGCTTATTACTGTAAAAAGATGCTTTGATGTTGTTTCCTTCCTCTCCAGCCTGTGTTGGTAGTGTGTACCAGTTTGTTATGCTTTTAGGAAAATTAGCGTTATAACTGCTACTTGAATCAGTCTTAAAACATCTGACTAAAAACTATTGAACTCTTTGTATGTTGTTTTCTGGATTTGCAATGTTTGTATCTATATTTAATTTGTGAAATGTTGTTTTATGTAGTTTCTTTTCACTATTGTAAGCTAAGCAGGTTGTAACCATGGTTTAGAGGACTAAAATGTACTGACAACTATTCTCTGTTGGCAGGAGTCAGCACTCTAACATAAACCTCAGCCTCTTGACAGGCGAAACAGCAGTGTGGTACTGTGCCAAAACCAGCATGAACCTTCAGCAGCCTGCCCCTCTGATTCCCCCTGTCCATCCTGATGTACAGATGAAACCCCTGCCCTTTTATGATGTGCTGGATGTTCTTATCAAGCCTTCAAGTCTAGGTCTGTAATGTTTCCCAATTTTGTTAACAGTTTGTTAACAGTAACTTTTTACAAGAGTTCATTGACATTTCAGTGAGTTCAGTGCACTTAAACATTACTCTTTGATTGCAGCCTTATTTATTCAGTAAAGTCTGACAAGCAATGTTACCAAGTTGTTGTTTTTTTTGTTCATGAAGGGCTTCTGGACCAGAACTGAATACTTTCACTTTCACTAATTGAAAGTGAACGTATTCAGTGTCTGTATGTACTTAAGTGTTTGGGGATCATTTCCAGGATAATAATTTACAATGTGAAAACTTAAGACCACTGTTTTTAGGGTTGGGGACAAAGTGTACATTAACTTCACGTTAAATGTTAGGAATGTACCAGTAATGATTAGGGTAAGTGGAAGGGTTAATAAATAGAGTTGATAAAGCTTTATCTTAAGTCAGTCAAGTTCTACCCTTGTGAAAAATAAATATATTAAGTATATTGAATCTTGGTATACTTGAGCATGCTTGACACTGAAGCACGACTTCATATTTTTTAACTACAAATGATAAAAGTCAGCTCACAAGTTTTCTGTGGGATTAAGGTCCGGCCTCTCTATTACTTGAATTCTGTTTGTCTGATGATTTTGCTCGATTGCTGGTGTGTTTGGGGTCATTGTCTTGTTGAAACAAACATTTCAAGGGTATTTTCGCTTCAGCATACACCAACATGACTTCTTCCAGTATTCTGGTGTAGTCAAACTGATTCATGATCCCTGGTATGCATTAAATAGGACCAACACCATGAGAAACCTCCCCATATCATGATGCTTGAACCACCGTGCTTTATCGTCTTCAGTGTGTACTGTGGCTTGAATTCAGAGTTTGCAGGATGTCTGACAAACTGTCTGTGGCCCTTAGAACAAATATAACAATCTTACTCTCGTCAGTCGACAAAATATTACTCCATTCCTTTTTAGGCCAGTCAATGTGTTTTTTGGCAAATTGTATTTACTTCAGCACATGGATTTTTCACAACGGCACTTTGCGGGGACTTCCTGCTGGTAGCTTGGCTTCTCATTGACGTCTTCTGATTGTTGCAGAACTCGCAGCCAAACACAGATCTTCGTTGATCTTCCTGGAGCTGATTATTGGCTGAGCCTTTGCAATTTTGGATATTCTCCGATCCATTCAAATAGTTGTTTTTCTTTTTTTCCCCTCAACATTCTGGTTTAGGCTGCCATTTTTAAAGCATTTGATACCATTTTAGCTGAACAGCCTATCATTTTCTGTGCTTCTTTATAGGTTTTCCCCTCTTTTATTAATTTTTTGATCAAAGATAGCTCTTCTTCTGAACAGTGTCTTGAACGACTCATGTTATTCTGTTTTTCAAGGACAAATGCACATCTAGCATATGCAGCGACAGTTGCCTTGATCCTTAAATAAGGATCACCTGTATAACACCAGTGTTTTTTCACATAATCAATGACCTCACTAATTGAACTCAGCACTGCTATTTTTTTGAACATGCCCCTGTCAGAAAATGATTGAGTTTCACAGAATCAGCAGCAAGCTCTTCACGTCTGTTGGTTTCCTAAACCTTTACTAAACCTTTTAGAAACTTGTATTTTGTATATATTTGTAATATATTTTTAAAATGTACATTTTATATTTTTTAGGAGCAAGTACTGCACAGAGGTACCATCAAGAAAAGTATTTTATTTTTGCATTAACACCTCAGCAAGTTCGAGAAGTATGCATATCCAGGTATGGACTGTTTGTTAAAGTTTCTTCACCAGTTGAAGAAATCATATATATTAAAATGAGTGGTTTGTTATGTTTTACAGAGACTTCCTGCCAGGTGGCAGAAGGGACTATATGGTTCAAATTCAACTAAGGTGAGAACTTAGTTGAATTATACAAGTAATTAATTCATATTAATTATTGTCATTTAATACGAAATGACAAAAGAGATTAGCAACTTTTAAATAAATTTTGTAGCTAAAAATAATGTAAAGGTTAATATTGGTATTTTCGCTACTCTTCATAAATCCAACAAAAACTGTTGTCAGTGGTTTTTAAAGTTAAAGTCCTCCAGAAATAACATAATGAATGAAGCTGTCCAAAAAGTAATGAAGGGAACAACAATGCCCCTTTTCACAACATGGTTTTGCAATAAGACTGTAAAGAAGGTCCCGTCATTCAGACACCTTTAGTTTGTCAGTGATTCAGCAGATTGTATCCCATATTAACGGATGCTACACACAAGGTTGTACGATATATATAGTTTTCAATAAAAATTAAATTCTAATATTTACATTGAGGCAGCTTGGATTATGAAGTATTCCCCTCACTTGGCAAAACTAATAAAATAAAACCAGCATGCAACATATTGCCTGTTGGTGCAATGTGCTTTAATGCATTAATTGCACTATTGTGTACAGACTCAAGTTCAAGCACATTGGTACCGTCCTGCTCTGCAAGTCGATACTGTCTGCATTGCAATATGACAGCAACTTGTTGTAAAACGTCAGGGATTTATAACCCCTTTCAAGTTGCCAAGTAATCAATATCCAAGTTCACATTATTTACTGAATGTGTTTACACCCACTTTGCTGACTTCAAAGGTAAAAACTTTAGGGAAATGTTTTACGATCCAAGAATGACATTTTATTATTTGTAATTGACAAAGTACAATTTGTGCATTAACACTCAAAATTTCAAATATATTTAACTTTTTGTTTTTGTGCAAAACAGATAATCTAAATGAGAGTGTGGCATTTAAATTGATTAACTGTGAATCTATTTGACAAATTTGTTCTCATACAGTAAGACAAGAACAGTCTTCATGCATTTTCATAGAAATCATCTGGATTTCCTTAGATTGAAAGCTGTTTGATAAATTGGCATAATAGTTGGGCTTGATTGCACATTATTTTAGCTAAGGTTTAATTTAAATATGTGTAGTTACAATTTAATGTACTCAACTACATTAATATGCTTGAAAATCTGCATATAAATTTAATCTGATTAGAAAAGCACCTTTATGGCTTTTATTGAGAGTTGGCACTATATAAGCAAAATTAATTAAATTATACTGTCACTTCTTGCCTGCAAACTCTCTTGACACCGCCAAGGATAATATCAAGATGCGTCTAAGAAAATTTTAAATGGTTCTTTTAACTTTCAGGTTCTGCTTGGCAGAGACAAGTTGTCCACAAGATGATAATTTCCCCAACAGTCTTTGCATAAAGGTCAATGGCAAGCTCTTTCCTTTGCCTGTAAGTGCCATTTTTCCTTTAGAACAGTAAAATGTAAACCTTCCACTAAAGTATTTAATGGGGGAAAACACTAAATTTTCTATATCTTTAGGGATTTGCACCACCACCAAAAAATGGAGTTGAACAGAAGAGAACAGGAAGACCTCTTAACATTACCTCCCTTGTCAGACTTTCTTCTGCTGTGCCAAACCAGATTTCAGTGACATGGACCCAAGAAATGGGAAAGGTGAGGTTTACAATATCTTATTGAATTTAAGCAAGCTATTTAAATCAGTGGCCTCAAACTAGGGATGCACCGATCCACTTTTTTCACTTCCAATACAAATATCTGAGGTTTAGTATCCGCCAGTACCAATCCAATACAGATAAACAGTGCTAAATTGACTTAGAACATTTTAAATTATTTGTTCAAACATTTCAAAACACAAAAGCAAAAATTCTCTTTTGCACCATGAAATATAAAAATTATCCAACAGTTTCTATCAATTGTATGCATCTGTTATTTTTATTCCTGATTAAACAATTTTAAATTAATTAAAAATAACAATAGAATTTGATGAGTGAGCAGAGCATTATATGCAAACTAAGTCAAACAACAAAGAACAGCTTCCGTCCTACTGTTCATGGCATAAAGCTGTTCAAAATAATCAAATTGCCACATCATGTCACATCATTCTCAACAGATATGACTTGTCTTCATCTAGTTAGAAATATATATTTTTAGAAGTTTAGAAGCATCTGTCTTGATAGCTTTTTTCATGGAGTTGTCTGTGAACTCTGAGCTCTTGTGACATTAAACAATGCCTAAATGCTGGAGGGTTTCTCAGCTTTAGATTCTCTATGATAAGTAGAAAACTATAATAACTATAACATGTTGGACAATGTTTTCTTTCAGCCTGAAGAAAGCCAGACATGAATAATTATTTTTATTTTAGGTGCAACAGATGTACTTCATCAGCAGGGCGCTCCACTGCTTTCTGCCATGTCACTGTCGTATTGCAGAGCACAGCTGCAGAAGTGCAACCCCAGGCAGACCTAGATCTGCCGGTGGCATGCGATGTGTTGTAATAGCGTTCTAAAAACAATGGAAGCTCTGCAACTCACCCCAAGGAACTGAAAAATATTCCATTTGGCATGAATTCCTCTGGTCATGCAAGTCATTCTGTCCTAGTTTTCTTTCCACTGGCATCTTTTAAAGTTGATGTTGTAATCTCCAAAGTATGTTTTTTCTAACACGCAGCTTGAGTGATTTGTTGGAGACAAGGGCGTGGTAAAGGGGTGAAAAGTGATGACAATTCTAGGGGCCTTGACCAGCTGGGGGCCTTCCACAATTTAATTATTTATATTTTGTTCATAGAAATAAAATAGAAAAAATCGGGGTCCTGTCAAATACAAAATTAATCGTATTGTATTTTCAAAGATTGTTTTCAGCAGTAAAAATTTTGTTACCCCTCCCAGACCAAAAAACACACATCCGTTTTTGCACTGAACCCCCCTGGATCTGCATGAAATGGTTCATTCCTGCTTGGAGCGCTTCACGGTGACGTATGCAGCTGCCGTCAGTAGAAGCTGCAGCTGAATACAGTTGTCACGAAACGACTGTGGCAGTTACTATGCTGCTAAGAAAAGTTATAAAATCAGGTTTTCAAAATCAAAATAGAGAGAGGGAGAGAGAGAAAAAGACAAGAGTGTTAATTTAGAACCCAGTTTTTCTCCAAGAGATGGGTAGACTGTGTGAGATTATCAACCATTTAGCATAATTAGCTTAGCTACAGACTACTGTTTGCCTCCTTTTCACTAGCATTTAGTGGATTAAGGAAAAAAATTTCCAACATATTCATATATTTAACTTGTCTCTGTGCCTTTTACCATTTAACAACAGGTGAGTCAGTCCGCAGCTGCTCTAAAACACCTCCCTCCTGACCCGTCCTCTCCTGAGTGAAATTAAAGCTGCAGTATGTAACTTATACAAATATATTTTCTTCCACATATTTGTTAAAACTGTCATTATGTTGTGACAGTCTGGTATGAGAGGTAATCTGTGAAAAATCTATTTCCTCTGCCTTCTCCCAGTGCTAGAAACAACCAGTCAGTGGCAGGAGAGTTTTAGTGCTGTCAATCACAATCTCATGTGGTGCTGCTCATCCTTCCTCCCCTCGATTTGTGCCGTGCTGCAGCTAGCATAGCACAGAGCTGTGCAGATTGAAATTGTGAATGCTCAGTTTAGCTAGCATAGCTACCAATGACGGCAGATAAACGGTTTCTTGTAATGATAAGTTGTTTCTCCACCATTAGCACATTTAGCAGTGAGTAAATGAAGAAGACCCTCGTCCTGGTTCTGATTGGTTGTTTTGGTCAGAACGGTGCCAGTAATTGTAATTCAGGAAGGAGATGGAGGAGATTGATTGTTTTCACAGATTATCTGTCTCATAACAAACTGCTATGACAGCTTTAACAAATATGGAGAAAACATATTTTTTATTAGTTATATACTGCAGCTTGAATAAAATGCAATTACATAGCATTTTTGAGAAGTCAGGATTGCTGTATGTATATTTTGCAAGTTGCTTTTGTCTCTCCCCATGTTGCTCATGCGGAGAGACATTTCAGTAATCTAATGCTAACAGAAAAAAATTAAACAACCTACTTGCATACTGGATGTGGACTGTTGGATGTTAAATTCATGAGCAGTAAATATTGTGCTAATTATCAGTATTGAACCAAAGAAAGCAAAGCAGATGCAAGCCTTTAAAATTGTGACGCTTTTTATGGGTCAGATGAACTCAAAAAATTGTAACAGCAGCTGTGCGGGGGGGGGGCACAGTCTAATTTTTTGTCAGGTGGCCGAAGATTCCTGGCAACACCCCTGGTTGGAGATACTAATGAGCCATGTGCTTACTTCATACTTGCAACTTATTGTCCACAACCAAAACAAAAGTGAGTGAATAGTCAATAAAGACCAGTATGATCATCACCTCTATGTTTTCCCATCATATCTCCGCAAACAGAGCAGTCAGGGGTTAGTGCTATGACAGTAAACCCACCACCAGTGTTGGTTTTTCACAATAAAGTACACTTTAACATTTCTTGATATTAAAATCAATTTCAAACTCTGATTATGGTTAGCATAAGTGTGGAAATACAAGCTATTTAAATGTATAATGTATATCATATGCTTTACATAGTTTTAACATAAATAATTTTAAAAATTAAAGCTTCAAGCAGCCTCGAACAGCCCTCACAAATCAGTGCTGCACTGACCTCATGGTGGCCACAGGTGGTGCAGCAATGCCACTCGCTCGCCACCATTGATGCTCTCGCACTGTTCCTGCACTCGTCTACTGGGCGATGCACATCAATGTGTTCAGCAGTGCTTCCTGAGCATACATAAAACAAATCTGGTGTAGATTGGCTGATTTAGTAAGGAGATATAGTTGATGGAATAACATAGGGGATGCAGTGCAGTCAAATTACAATTTAATGTTATTGGGCTCTTTAGAGGTTCACGAAGGTCAATTGTAAAAAATTTGGTCCAAATCAGATGATGCATGTATGATTTAGAGATTACCGTATGCATATGGCAAGGGATTGAAATTCGCCATTCAGCCACGCCCACATGGTTCAGCCACCAGCCAGTGTTGACAGAGATCATTATCTTGCCATTTTATGTCACTTGGCACAGGTTTAAACCTATATGAATCAAAGATTAAAAGTAAGACATACAGCAGAAAAAATAGGTGACTTCCTGTAGGACTATAAGATGATATCAATTAACCATGTGAATGTGATGAGGGCTGGTTGGTAATGAGACATAGAAAGTCTGATGCAGCTCTAACCTTGTGTGTGGACGTTATTGCACCTTGCACCTTGATATTCGCCATGAATATTGGCCACAAAGGCCAATATTCATGGCGAATAGTCAGATTTTGACACTTGATCATTTAAAATATTCCAGAGGGCGCTGTAGAGAAATTAGGCCACACCCACCAAATATTGGACTGCCTTCCTGTTGGGGGTTGGACAAGGATCAATCCCAGTGAATTTGGTGCAACTTGGCAGAAATATGTGGAATTTAGAGCCAAACGTATGGCAACAGTGTCACCTGTGAATTTTGCCATGCCACCATGACCACGCCCTCCACCGAAAAGTCATTGTGCTTTAAAGCAAGTGAGACTAACTAGATATCTATCTTCTAACACCAGATCATCTTGATTAGGTCAAGGGGGTCAGAGATGGTTGATTGGATCGTCAGGCATCCAACCAGGATCATTCATGCCAAGTTTGGTGCCAATTGACCTTTTTATTTGAAAGTTATACCATTTTGTTTGCTTTGGTGAGTACTCCAAGTTCGCCGCTTCCCCACGCACCCTGAACATATACAAAAACTGAATTTTTTTGATAACTTTTAAAGCCCCACGCCTTAACTGCATTTTGACCAAGAATGAAACCGATGGAACAAAATCCCTAGGATGAGTTTGTTAAAGTTCAGAGTGAGTAAAAGTGAAAAATGGCCAAAATGTGCCCTTTGATCCAAAATGGCTGCCTCCCTGTGCATTTTAGGGGGTACCTCTAAGAGACTTTTTGTCATGATTTGAGGGGACCTACTTTCGTACCGAGTTTAAGTTCTCTACGACCTATGGGTTGTTCTATCTCACGTTAGGGGGCGCTGTAAAGCAGTTTGGCCACGCCCACTTGTGATTCCACAAGAATTCAAAAATTTTAGTTGGGGTACATCTTTGGGTACATTTTGGTGAGTTTTTGAATATGTTAAAGGCTCCAAACAACCATTTGACGGAAAAATAATGAGAAGTCCTGCGATTCCATTAGGCCTTCGCAGTGTTTCACTGCTTCGCAGTGAAAGATGTACCCCAACTAAAATAAACCTGCTCTTTAGGGTCAGCACATTGTCACCAATGCCTGATCTAGATTTCTTTTAACCCTAACCCTTAGACTACAGATTTAAATGATATTGTGAAGTACTTTTGAGTACCGTATTTTCTGGACTATAAGGCACACCTAAAAGCCTTAAATTTTCTCAAAAATCAGCAGTGCGCCTTCTGTGTGCACTGAATTCCAAAATCTGTCCCTGACACAGAGACGTAAAGTGTACAGTACATACACTAGCAGCGATAAACCAATCAGAGAATTGTTTTCCGAGTTCTGCAGCATACGCCTCCGGTAAAAACCAGATAGGTTTTTAAACGCATCGCTGTCCCTGTTCGTCTG